TAGTTCTTAACAGTTCCGTTATATGGAGAGTGAGAGAGGTTACGGTACGATTTAATTTATTTTCACAGTGTTAAGGTTCCTAAAAAGATTTGTCCTGAGCGAATTTGGTTATTATAGCTTAAATGGTTTATGAGATATGTACATTAAACCAATTAAAGGTTGGAGCCCCGAACCACTTTTTTTTTTAATTTTATCCACGAGCTCCGCCTTACTTTTTTGCCAAGGGACATGTGTTTTGCTTAAGTTATAGCTTGCACAGACGGACGGACAGACAGTCACCCGCATTTCAACTCATCTCGTTACCCTAATCATTATATCTATATACCCTATATCTATCTCAATTAGAGCGTGCATGAAGGGAGCCGATGTTTCTCTTAAACGGATCTGTTGCAACCCGAACATCGACTATATCATCTAATCTTTCTTCCGGCAACATAATACTCAACTTGTATCTGGTTATTTAAAATTTTTTAGTTGGGCTCTATTGTGGTCGTTTAAATTTTGGGAATGTTCTTGATGTTTACCTTGATTTTGATCTTCAGTTACTATAAGAGCGATCAAAACAATATGATCGAAGATTGTAGTAGTGTCTTAGAAAATAAACAAGTTTTCCATACAAGAACTTGATTTTGATCGATCAATTTGTATGACAGCTATTTATTATAGTGATTCTATGCCGGCGGTTCCAACAATTGAGGGACTAATTCACGTGTATACAGACGGACACGCCAAAATAAACTCAGCTCATTAGGCTGATCATTAATTTAATACATAGATATAGGACACACTATATCTTCGACGCTTCCTCCTGACTGTTATTATCTTCCCAGTAAACTAAGTGCACCCTGTTCCTTATTTAATCTAGAGATACTAATATAATTATACAATGAGTTTTTATATATTAAGCGTTTCGTGAAATAAAGATTTGATCGATTAAAAAATTATACAATTTTTAGATTTCTGCGTTGAAACAAAGGGAGATCATCAAACACCTTTTCAGATTTTAGCATAGTTGAAATTATTTCATAAATTGCAAGTTTTATGTTTATTTAGGAAACACTGTTCCATAGGCCAGAACCGTAGATAAACACTTAAACATTTATACATACTATAGTATATAGGAAATTTGTTATGATTCGATTTCACTTAATTCTGACATTATAAAAACATACATGTTTTAGAGATATATGACATATTAAAAATAATATAAATACTTTTTTGTAATACCTTTCTCCTTACTTGCTCGCATTGGTGCACCACTTCCGCGAACGACATCAAAGTCAAAGTCAAAGAGAAACTATCTTTTTTGGAAGTAAGGCTAGTTTTTCCTACACGGCAGCTTAATTTTTGATTATGTTTCTTTTCCACATCAATGAGTTTTTTATACGTCATGAATTCTTATGCCATGAACCGCGATGACTCGACTACAATTAGGAAAGAATAAAAAGGTCAGTAAAAGGGGCGAACAACAACAGTTACCTTTGATTATCCACGTAGTTAAATGCAAACCAATTGGTATTTCCTTTGGCGCTTCATTTAACAGAAGTGCGTTTAATGTCTAACTGAATATGCCGGAAATTCCATAATCAATTTTGGTCTGCATTAAAAGAGAGCTTTTTAGAATTAAAAAAATACTTCAAATCGACTCAAGGTGAAATAATGATGAAATTCGGAGTTATTAATCTTCTCATGAAGTATTATGTAAATGTAGGCACATAGATGTAGGAGAACTAATGAATCGATTTCATCAACTTGTAATACTAAAGCACTTAACCTTAAATATCTCATATTTTAATCGAAAATGCCTTATCACTGCAAACAGGGCAAGAATCTTAAATTAAAAACAAGTAAGGAAGGGCTAAGTTCGGGTGTCACCGAACATTTTATACTCTCGCATCAAATATCGTATTTGTGTAAAGTTTTATTCCGCTATCATCATTGGTTCCTTATGTATATATTATACAGAGAAGGCATCAGATGGATTCAAAATAGCGTTATATTGGAAGAAGGCGTGGTTGTGAACCGATGTCATCAGGGTGTTAAGAAATATTATATACCGAATTTCCTTGAAATCGGTCGAGTAGTTCCTGAGATATGGTTTTTGTATGGGAGATGGGCGTGGTTATTATCCGATTTCTTCCATTTTTGAACTGTATATGGAAATGCCTGAATGAAATAACTCTGTAGAGTTTGGTTGACATAGCTATAGCAGTTTCCGATATATGTACAAAAAACCTTGTAGGGGGCAGGCCACACCCAGTTTTCCAAAAAATTATATCCAAATATGCCCCTCCCTAATGCG